GCTGGCCAAACAGTAGCCGTGCTCCCAAGTGCTCCTGCTGCCGCCGATTCTGTCCTGATTCCGATGGGCGAGCAGATGACACTGAGCCGCTCGTCGGTCGCCTTCGACTCCGCCGCTTGACATATCCATTAGGCGGAACAGAACAGAGCAGAACAGAACCAAAACGAACTGAACAGCCGAAAAGTAAGGGCACAGAGTGCGGTTCGGTTTGTGACCACGTCCCCATCATAATTATTAAATGCAGCTCAATACATTTGCCTCGAATCGCTGGCATTCCTGCGCAACCTAATGCCCAAAGATATTTCTTGGGGCCGCCGCAACCGCCGTCGGCCTTATGACTATGGAATGCAGCCCAATCGCACCAGGAGCGGGTTGAGAATAAAGGGTAAAGTTGGATGTGGGGACTATCAGCTACCCTCCCCAGAGGCTCTAAGTTATTTGTTAAAAAAATATAAAAATCAGAAAAACTTTTTGTTTTTGAGAAAACAAATAATTACTCACAAGATGATTATCCACCACTTTATTTTTACTTTAAACAAAATAATAATAATTTCAAATACATATTGTTTGTAATAAAGAAGGAAAATTGAATAGAATTAATTTTAGAATTTTATTTTTGATGGACTGACTTAAAGTTGTTAAACAGAACGAAAAGAGAAAAGAGAATCCTATATACCCTAATATCACCAAAAGCGCGGAATAAAAATGTGACTGGGACTTTAACTTTGACTGGGGCCTGGACTCCTCTATTAGCCCCAAAAGAGTCCACTCTAAACGCCGGCGCGTCTGCAGGAACAGGAACAGGAGTTGGAGCAGGAGCTGGGGCAACACGACAAGAACGATGTAAATTAAACGAATACCTTGCCACAGCGCCGATCTTTCATCATCGATGCCACATCCTGACGCTGCCCCCGGGAGTCGCCACTCGCTTATGAAGTTATTTCACCGTCGCTTTCAATCACTGAGCCCGCGATTGCTGCTCTTTCGTTTCACTTCTCGATTTATTGAATTTCGTATAAATTAAAATATTAAATATTTTCAGCGACAAAACCTTTTAATTACCCAGTTTGTTGTTATTCCTTCGTTTGGAATTTTTCCAAAATATTTCATAACCTTCGGGCTGGGTTAACGAACTCCTAACCGAAGTCACAAAGGGAAAGCGCTTAAATTGAATTTGGATCCCATTTTAAGGACCCAAGCCCCGTGTGGGGTCCTCGTAATATTATTACAATATATCATTGAATGTGGGGTACACTTGGGTCAGTAATGGCAAAAAATAAGCGACACCTTGGGAACGCCTATAAAAAAGAACTACAATAAAAAATGATTGACATCGAGGTGTTATTTTCGCTTAATGCCCTTTGAATATTCCATTCGAACAACCCTCGTCGCCCCACTGTCACGCATATAAATATAAATATTCAGGTACATGGAATCAGATTAAATTATCTTAGACAAATTGAGACGCAGACAAAGGGCGACCAAACTTGCCGTCGCCCGAGGGTGGAAAACCCGAAACTAAAAAAGCGAGTACATTTAAATTATGTTTTTGGGGAAGGCGAGATAGCCGGCATCGAAGTAACCCCACCATATGTAGGTAGGACACACTAGACTGCAATAATAGAGATTTACTTTCTGCCCGCGGGCTCCCCAGCGAAAGCCAGCCAAGTGCGGTGGTCCTTTGTTGTTTGCGGTTGCCTTTTGTGTGGCGAGTGGAAAAGCCTTTAAAGCCCGGCCAAGCGAGCATCAAAAATGGCTTTTAATTGCCTTTTAATTGTTTTCGCAAAACGAATTCGAGCGGGCCCTAACGGTATGCGTATTTGGCCTAATTACACAGCTCATAACAGCCTTTCATGCGACGATCTCCTGGCGGGAAAAGGGAAGGGGTGAGGCCAGCGACTCGGAGCGCAAATTCTGTCATTTAATGGACCACTGGGCGTATGATTTGATTGGGCCAGTGACACAGTTAGCCGGAGTCACTCAGCACGGGGGAAGTTCTCGTTGGAGTTGGATATTTTGATTAGCACCGCAAGCGCAATTGTCAACAATACCCCAAACGAAAAATCATGGTTCGTTAGGCAATTCAAATGGGATTGCAATTGCTTTTTGGCCTTCAGAGGTCTAAAAAAGTCAGCTAAGAAGGCTGAATTGAATAGCTGGAGTACTTTGGTTTCTGGGTGTTTGCTTAACTGATTTATTCACAATCCGAAAGATAATTCTCATTCTCTTTCCAAATTTGTATTGATATTGAAAAAATAACCCATGAAAGAATATGGGAGATAAAATAAAAAGAACAAGAATTTCTAATCCGAAAGTTAAGAAATGTTGTACCTAGCTTGTATTGTATTAAGTTGTTATCAATATTATTTAGTAACACATACATTACAACAATTAAAAAGAAATATATATATGTGCTCTAACATTGCATTATTTTTCTCTTACACTTAAATATATACAATATGCCTTTCAGGGACTTATAAAAATAGATTTATTTCGTTAGTATTCATTCCCCCTTATTTATTGTGAGGTAAACAGCTGTAATCATTCATGTTTCTTTCCTTTGAACTGTGTATCGCTGCTCGAAACAAATCGCCCGCGGCCTTTTCGGTATTAAATTTGCATTTCAGCTTGTATCTGCAGCGGTGTGGCCATGATTCGATTGTATCTCTTACTCCGTCCTCAATTGCGGCGCATGAAAGGTGATCGATACCATAATGAGCGTATTCAGAGGACATCGGCGGTGGCGGCACATAATGTGGTCATGTGGGAGTTGCCGCAATGCGTGAGCTATCAGCCCGCTCTGGTTTGTATCTCGTAGTAGATGTATCTATGTGGCTGGCTGACTGACTGACTGGCAGGCTGGCTGGTGTTAACACACACACACATACTCACACACCCGCAGCGTTTGTCGCTCACGTAATGCAATTGTCCAAAATGCTCAACCAACTACTCAAAAAGTCATCGTTCAGATTTAACAACTTTGTTGGCCAGAGGGGGTTGGCAGGGGGCGGGAAAGAGATAGAGATAGCCGGGCAGCAATGGCGATGTTCGTGTGCTTGCGTTTGTATTTCGTACATGCATATACATATGTACAAACTTTTACATTGCTCTTATATGTATAGCTTACAGGGGGTGGCGGTGGGTGGCAGGGGGTTTGGGAGGTTGGGGAGGGTGAACGTCTGTGGGTGGCGGTACTTTTGAAGCCCCTTTGCACTATACACTTTTTGAAAACTCATTTACTTGTGGCATGTAAACAACTAATCTGTTAACACTCCGTACAAAAGCGCGAACGATACATTAGCGTGTTCTCTGCCCCCATACTCCCCTCATCCCCTCACCCCCTCCCCTCTGCTCCCCTCCCATGGTATTTCCGGCTCCTGTCAAAACCGAGAGAATGATGAAGCACCGAAAAACCGACAGCCACACCACTGCTAAAAACCAACACCACCGGCAGCGCCACAATAAAAACTTTTGCTCGTGAATATTTCCCTCATTCGCGGGGCATAATCAAAAGTTCCCTTCTTTGCCAAAATGGAAACGTGATTTTCTCATCGGCTATATGTACTTATATATAGGTATCAAGGGAGTAGGGATTCGGAGGGTCGTCCTGGCAGAAGGATATGGCTTACAGGAGGCAGAAACAGGGTCCGCAAAAAGGGGCAACTGGCAGGAAGGAAGGTGCGAAGGCAGGAGGCAGAAGTAAAGGTTGCCAGACCACATGGTGTCAAACATTTTGCTACACTTACACAATATGCTTCACTTACTGTGGGCCGAAATCTGTGGAAGCGGGTTCTTGGCCGAGTCAAAACGTTAATTTTTGGTTAACTCCCTAAATTGGTTTTGCCGTCCTTTACATATTTTATGATTTGGTTATTTTTCGCTGTTAAATGCCGGAAACTATTTTTATGTAGACAGTGCAATTGTTAAACAAATTTTAATGTATAATATAATTGAGAAAATTGGAACCTCTTACAACTGAGAGTCATTTTTTCATAAATGGTTTTCGCGAAATCGGTAGATGACCAAAAAATTATTAAAGCATTTGTTAAGCATTCAAAAAAATAACTTTGCAGAAGCTTTGTATGAACCATAAGAGCAAAAATAAGGTTTTAGAAGAAACGAACAAGAAAATTGTGGGACACGTGAAATGAACTAAATGAAATTAATTATGGCCCATGTTCACTTTATGCAATCATTTAATAAATGCACTCTCCTTTTCGTTTTTTAACAACTTGCAACTATTCAACTTATTAAACAAATAAAAATTCCTCGTGTTTGATTTCCTAAACCTCAAGTAGTGACTTGACAGAATTTCCGCAGCCATAAATCCCATCTAATTTAGCGCATAATCGTAATATTACCGATTCCAACCCACTGTGCGGCTGCCTGTCGAGCTCCGCAGGCTTGTTTTATTTGATTTCTTTATCAATATCTGAGCTGCCTTTCCTGCCCCCTCCCCCTCCTCCAGTGCCACTGCCTCCCCGTTCGAACAGGCCGTTGTTATCCTGAAACTGCAACTGTATTTGTTGCCGTGTGGCAGTGTGTGTGCGGCTCTTATGTACGACTCATTTAAACGAGACCCACGAGGGCGATGCCACCACCGCGTTGGCGGGAAAGAGATGCCACTACGGGTAGTTACCCTGGGTAACTTGTGTGCCAGAGGGAGACGGCCATTGAGCGGAGGGAACCACGCCCACCACCCGTGGAAACCATGGTATGGTGGTGCTTCGTTTCGGTATCCGTATCCGCATCTGGTCGCGTTTTTGTATCTGTATCTGCGCGTGTGTGTGTGAGTGGCAAACTGGTTGTGGCCTGGTATTGGTGCCAACTCGTTTCTGTTTCCATATCTTTAGCCGTATCTGTGTCCGCCCGTGCTCGTATCTGTATCTGTATCTGCAGCTGTATCTGTATCTGGCCCTGGCTCCGGAGATGTGGCTGTGCCTGTAGCTGTGACTGTAGCTGTATCTGTGTCTGCAGCTGGCAGGCGGTAGCAGTGGCAGCCGGAGAGCCGAGCTGCCTGCCGCCAGAGTATCTGTATCTGTGGCGCGTCATTGTTGTGCTGCTACTGCCACTGCTTCCACCTCTGCCGCTATCGCTGTGTAGTCATATAGCCGTATAGCCGTATAGCCGTATTGCCGTATAGCCGCATAGCCATATAGCTGTTTAGCTATAGCTTCCATAGCTTCTGTGCCGTTACCGTTAACGCTGCCGTCGCCTGCCTAGTGGGCAGCTCAGTTACAAGACCATTATTTGACGTATTTTTTGCGCGCTCGGTTGGTCGTTTGGTTGGCTGCTCGCTCTCTCGGTTACCGAATCGGTTGTACTTCTACTTTGGCTCGTACTTGTGCTAGTATACTGATATACTACTGTACTGGTGTATGGTGTAGTATCCACTGCCTGAGGAGCCCCCTAGCTGTGGAGCAGCGGCAGTTGCGCTCCGTTCGTGGACCGGGCACGGGTATCGCATTCATGAGCTGGCTCATTGGCAGTCATTTGGATTCGCACGCCAGTCGGACCGGTGGCCACCTCTCACGTCCACAAGCCAGCGATCGCGCGCGCGTTCTTGAAAAGTGCGCTAACCGACCGATACATTAAAGCCGCATCAAATCGGAGCGAATCGGAGCAAATCGAATCGAAGCGGATCGGGAAACCCAGTGACAGTGCTCGCAAAAGGAAGAAACAGAATTTCGTGATTAGTGACTTAGTGTTGTGAACAGCAAGATTGCTTCGTTCCGGTGCAGAGTAGTATGCCAATTTGTTCACAGTGGATTCAACGAATAAAATGGCCGTTGGACCGACGGAGGGCAAACAGCCGCCCTCAGGGAGCTTCTCGCCCACGCACCACCAGATTATAGCCCCCAGCCCCATCCTGGCCGTGCCGACGCTGGCCTTCTCCGCCGCCCAGGTGGAGATCGTCTGCAAGACGCTCGAGGACTCCGGCGACATCGAGCGCCTCGCCCGCTTCCTCTGGAGCCTTCCGGTGGCCCTGCCCAACATGCACGAGATCCTCAACTGCGAGGCGGTCCTCCGTGCCCGGGCCGTGGTCGCCTACCATGTGGGCAACTTCAGGTAGGATTCCTCACTCACTCGCTTGCGGACCGGCCGGAGGGACAAAAGCTCCTTCTCAAATGACAGCCTCCGTGCCTCCTTGCCTCCTTGCTGCCTGATTAACCCCCTCCGATCGAGAGACGCTCGGTCATCCGATAGTTTTCCACAGCGACAGCTTAATGAGGGCACAATGAGCCTCTAAATTAATAAACAAAGGAATTAATTTACTAATTAAAGAACTCGCTGCCATCCCAAAGCCAAGTGGAGCAGGCTTGATTAATAAAACACCGACCGAACAATAGGTTCGAATCGGGGATTCGGCTTCCGTCGCCACTGCAGAATTCGTGGCTTCTCACATTTCAATTGAGCTGCTGAGCTTCTAAGACAACCGGAAACGATTCATTCCAATGGGAATTTCGCAATGAGCCATCGCGAAGGGGATGGCGAAAGATTAGCTTTTTTGGGGGTTCCATGCTGTAGACTTAGCCTTGTGATCTCCCAGAGCTTCATGGCTAGACAAGCCACTCACTTGCCCGTTGCGACAAAGTGGGCAAACAGGTCCCCGGCAATCGATATCGACAATTATCCGATCGTCTCAAGCAATCACAACTATAAACGGCTGCATCAGGTTTTGCATCTCATCTGTGTCACATCAAATGAAGCTGACTGCAGCTCGTAGATACGGCTGTAGCTATGTAATTCGAGTATAATCAATCAATGTCCATGCGAATACTCGCATATATGTATTTATATGGCCAGCTTATGCATATACGGATCTGGCGATGCAAGTGATTTGATTGCTTTGACTTGGTAAATAAACGACTTCCAATTAAAATCATTTGACGTACTCAACTGAGCTGTCAGCGCCAGTGACGACAATAAATGCTTATGAAATTGTTTCAAAATACATATGGCTGGCTTAGAACGCCCGTCGAGCGAGGGGTGTTTCACAAATTTCGGGTGGAGTGGGCTGCCTTTCGCAGCGGGACACTGGCAATCTCGGGGGTTGATGGGGTTGCAATCGGCACGGCAATTCGAGGCACTAACTTTGAGCACCACACTCCGGACACTCAAATTGGACTTCGATCTGGCTCTTCTTTGCAGGGAACTTTATGCAATAATAGAGAATCATAAGTTTACTAAGGCGTCCTACGGCAAGCTGCAGGCCATGTGGCTGGAGGCCCACTACATTGAGGCCGAGAAGCTCCGCGGTCGATCACTAGGTGAGTACATCACTGCAACCCACTACTAAATACAAAGAGAAAGATTAAAAAAGTGTCTTGAACTATAAGAAGTTTCGAAGAAATCAACAAAATATGAAAGATATCTTTGAAGCATTTTAGGAATTCAAAACAGTTTCTTAATCAAAAAACCTAAATCTTAACTTATAAGTAACGCAGCAAACAGTTCACTTTGTCAATATGGATCATATCAGATCCAACCCTTATAAGTCCTTAAATACCAAAACAACATGAGGCAACCAAATCTGTTCTCAGCGATTTGTAAATCCAAAAGAAGAATGTGACTTCTTAGTATTAGTAGCATAGTATTAGTCTGATTTTGAATAATCAGAATGTACATTTTAAAACAATTTATTGGTTTTAATCAAATCAAATGTAAATCATGCTTAAAGTATTAAGTTGTTTTAACAAAAGTCGTTGATCACCGAGTCGAATACGCAATATTTTAATTTATTTACTTGATTTTCTTTACTTTTTATCCTTTACTTTATTTCCCTTTATAAAATCATATAAATTCATTATTTATTAGCCTTTGTACCAGTTTCTCTGCAACTAAAAGTAAGGAGGAAATGTACTATTTCTATCTCGATTTCTTTCAAAGCTTATCATAATAGGCTTATACTATAGGTTTGGTACAAAAATTAGCTTTTTATGCTAAAGCTGTTTGGTAGTAGAAAAACAATAGTTTAAATGCTTATAATTAAATAGGTTTCAAGAATATTTACCAGTGAAACAAAAGACAAGAATTTAGTAAAGGTAGATCCAAAAAAAAACAAAGGTTTTTAGGTAATAATTTGTAACACACTTTATTTAAACTAAGTTAACAAGACCCATCGATATCTCTGATTCGCAGGCCCCGTAGACAAGTATCGGGTGCGAAAGAAGTTCCCCCTGCCGCCGACGATCTGGGACGGGGAGCAGAAGACGCACTGCTTCAAGGAGCGCACGCGGAGCCTACTGCGCGAATGGTACCTACAGGATCCCTATCCGAACCCCACCAAGAAGCGGGAGCTGGCCAAGGCCACCGGGCTGAATCCCACGCAAGTGGGCAACTGGTTCAAGAACCGCCGCCAGCGGGATCGGGCTGCTGCGGCCAAGAATCGGTAAGTAGTCAGTCGACCGCCTTGATTAACCATTAGAGTTGGATGCGGTGGATACGCTGGATAGACCAGCCCAGGCCAGGCCAGGCCAGGAGAGTTGGTAACCCGATCGGCCGATGGTCGGGTAAGCCGATATCATCCTCCGCAGAGTGGGAGCAGCCTTTGGGGGGGGCCAGCGAGGGGGGATCGATTCAGTCGGTGGGGGGATCGCACAGGAGCGTTTCCATTTCATTGATCCGTGCCGATCTGCGGCAGCGGTGGCGGCACCCAGTGAAGCGTTCTCGATTTCTGCCGTTTGTTGCGGTCGCCGCTGCTTTTTGGCCACATTAAACTGACCGCCGACGATGACGATGACGATGACGATGAGGACGGGACTTGGTCTCGGTCTTGGCCTGGCCTGGCCATAATGACGAAGTCTCTCCTTCGTCGACGAATCGAGGGATCATAATGACGATGATGACAGTGTAAACGCAGCTCATGGTTCGCCGGGAAAGGTGCAACCGCTTGCAAAATGCGACCGACCGGCCGAACGGTCGACCGGCAGAAGTTAAAACTCGACCAATTCGCGCGAAGTTGAAATGAAGAAGACCCGCTCGAAGTGAAAGAAGGCAAGTTAAGTGGAATGACACTGCAAGAAATCCGCAGTCGCAATCGCAGTCGCACTCTTTTGGATCTCAAGTCGAAATCGTAGTCCACTCAAGTGCCTGGCTGCTCCTGCAGATGCGCAAATATTTCAAGTTCTACCTGCTCACAAAAAGAGCAAGAGAGCAAAAGGAAAAGTAAAAGAAATCGAGACAACATTTGGCATTCCTCGGAAACCTGGCTGCCGAGAGTCCCCAGCCTCGTGTTTATTAAGTTAGGAGCCCCTTCTCAAATTGAATGAATCTGCACAAAGCGCCAAGCGAAGGCCCCCCAAAAAAAAAAGCGAGAAAAACGCCAATGAAAACTAAAAACCAGATGCGAGCGGGTCATTAGTTAAAATGATGGCGATTATTTCGCCTGTAAGCAGCGGCAGCCACGGATACGCGGCCATTACAACTCCATCCGCACTCGATCCGCATCCACCATGGATCCCCAGTCGGATCCCCAGTGGGTTCGGTTCCCCAGTCGGTTCCCCAGTCGGTTTTCGAGTACGAGTTTTCGATGTTTCGATGTTTCGAGGTTTCGTGGAGTCATCGTGTTATTAAAGCAGCGTCGGCAAAATCCCCCAGAGATGAGACAAAAAGGCGCACTGCAGACACAAAGCACGAGTATGCCCATATAAAAAATATGAAATTAAAAGCCGTTCATATGCGACGGCCAGACGACTTCGACAGCGCCAGGCGGCAGACAGGGGCGTCCAAAGGGGGCGGGGGGGCTGGCTAAGAAGGGGGGCCCAAGACCATTCTAAACGGCGACCAAAACCAGACACAAACAGGCGCTGACTGTTCAAGCATTGTGCGCTGAAAAATTGTTAACATTTTTGCTACTGCACTTGTGCGAAGCGAGAACGACAGACGGACAAGTCCGCCGAGAAACGAGAACGGAGGGCCAAGTCCGCGGACCGAATCCCAAGACACCCTTTAAAACCAATCTTGAACTTGACAAAGGTTTTTGCTTAAATTTAAATATGATATCCTGGAACAATATGGAAGGGTTTGGCTACACTTCCTCTTTTAATCTTTGTACAATCTAATCACAAGAAATATTTTTTGTTTCGTGTATACCTTTACATTGTGGGATCGTTCAAATTCTAACCAATGATAAATCTGTTTAATTGGAAAAACATTATTAATCTTCTAAAATGCTCGGAAATCATAAATCACATAGTTACGAAAATTGAATTAGACCTAATAGAATTTTGTTTGACTTGAATTATAACTAGTTACCATTTTTATGAAACGGAAAGTCTTGTTTTAATGACTTTTCTGTTGAGATATTTGCTCTTAAACCTATAAGAAATCGGTTGTGCAAACTGCTTTCAAAAATAGCAACACCCCCAGGAAGGGCATAGGAAAAGGCAGCTGGATGTGGGAAACGAGATCGTGGCGGCAGAAGGAGCCACGATGTCAAACGGCTGTTGTGGCCCGGCCGAGATGGTAAATCAATCAAATGCTCGGCTCCGAGCCACTCGATTAGAAAGGCTCCGCAGAGAAAGGCAGCGGCGCGTTTCCCGCTCCCGAATTGAGTAATTAAGACATCGGAGATTGATCGACTCAACTCAACTCAACTCATTTCAACTCGACTTCAGTCGTTACGGCGGAAACTTGGCGCTGCAGGCCCGTCAAGCTCTGATGCCTCCGACCAGCCACCTCCAGCCAAGTGGCCATTGCAAGTGGAGTGCAGTTGCAGTTGCAGTTGCAGTTGCAAGATATTCAAAATCAAGATTGCCGCGCATTATACTGGAATTCTGAGCAGGCACATGAACGGGGGGCTGCCGTATCTCACAGATGCCCCAGTCATCACCATTTGTCCGATTCAGCGGAACTCTTGAGGCGTGCAAAGCCCCTTGAGGAGCGGATGAGAAAGTAATTAATGAAACATGGATACAACTCAGATATTAACTCGGTTATTACGCTCTAAAGCTAAGAGATCATTTTAAATAGTGCTTAGAAAAATATTTATTTGCGAAATAGAGATATGTAGATATGCAATGTCATTTATTTTATTAGAGTTTTTCACTTCAAAAGAACTGAACTACTTGCTGATGAAGGTGTAGCAGTTTTTTTAAAATAAAGGAAAAAACCTGTAAATCAAAAATGCCAAAATAAGCATTACAAAACAGTGCTTGACAGTAGCATACCGTATAAGGTAACAGATAATGGTTATTAATTTTTCCATCTACTCATACCGGTCTGAGTCACACGAGATTTCACAAATGATTTGGAGAAAACAAAACGGCTTCGCGGAGAAGCTTCTATTGTGCAAATTCATTAAGCCGAAACCCCGGCTTGAGACTTGATTTTGATCAATTACAATTGCCACTCGACGATGCACGACAGCGATACGAAACTCTTGGCCAAACCGAGTGGAGCCCCCGAATCAAATGGATCCACTGAATCCGCCTCGCGCCGATGGTTTTATTGCGTGAATTACCCGCCGAGCGAAATGCGTGGCTCGTGGACAGCCACTCTGGATGGAGATGGAGATGAGATTCGCCCACATCCCATCCATCTTGAGCCACCCATCCATCCATCCATCCATCCATCCATTCATCTCGAGCAGAAGCGATGACCAAATTAGGGGCACAGTGGGCGTTTTTACACCGGGCGATTTGTCAGGGAACCAGAACACGAAATGGGCCACCAGAAATTTGGGCATTCGAGTGAAGTGTAATAAAGCTGAGCACCCAGCAAATATGTTGTAAATGTCAATTATCAATCAAATCAACAAACACGCACTTGCGGACAGGAGCATGTATATAGAGATATGTACAACCCCATGACCGGCAACTGAGTTTGAAGAGGGTTTTTTTTCCCATCTTCAGATCGATTCCCATCGATTCCCAGCCTCTCAGCATTCGCTCTCGAATTCTAATGAAGAAAGGAAGATGCAGAAGCAGTGTTCCCATCCTAAGCCCCACCATCCAGCAGCCCCCTGCCTTTGTCCATATCCGAGTCGGACGGAGGCCCACTAGTCCGAGAGTTCGGACAGGGCACTCGAACCCCCTTAAGTACCCATACCCATGCCCATGCCCATGCGATCCGAGGGAGCTCAGCTCGGACCACTCGACGCTGTTTGCCCAACACCAACTACCGTTTTCGGTGGCTTGTGAGAAAAATATACAACCAGCTCTCCAATGGGAGCAGAAGCTGGAGGAATACGGGGTACACAATAAATAATTTCTAAGATCATTCATTGATTTTAAATGGAACTTTTTTGTAAGTAACAATACCTACAGAAGAAGGTTTTAACATCCAAACTCTAGACTCTTCTTACACTCTCTTCAAAGAACATCTATAAAACAAGAAAGGAAGCTAGCTTTGGCCAAATCTTATATACCCTTGCAGTCATCAAATTTGTCGAACAAAATACAATATAAAATACATATAATATAGATAATATGGTATCGCTAGGACACCAGGATCACTTTCCAAGTTCAATAACAATAACAAATTGGACAAAACACATCAAATTCTCACATGCTAGATCGCTTAGATATCAAATATTGGAAATAAATATTGGATGACACATGTTCATTCATTAACTAGGAAATGTAACATATCAAAAAAATGTATTTTACTGACATTTCTTGACAGTTTGACATGCTATTTAAAATTCTCTTATTTAAAAAAATGATCAAGCAACTAAATTTAATATAATGTAAAAATTTAATACAAAACCCAACATTTAAATATGTAGTAGCGGAAGTGTTGTATTTATTCCCTTCTACCCTGTCAGTGTTTTTTTCAACTCCTCAAGTTTCGTACTTCAACTTTCCTCAGTGTAACTATATCTGAGCTCCAAGAAAGAACTGAATGGATGTGAAGCTTCAATGTCGGACACTTCAATGCCGCATAGAAAGTGTATTAAAGAAATTAATAAGAAGTCAGCTCCGAGTCATCATCATCGGCAGTCGGGTGGCTCTCCATCGAAGTTGGAGGTTGGATTGCTGGAGTGATTGGTGGACTGTTGGATTGCTGGGCAGGCAGCAACACCGGATGTGGCCTTTGTTCAACTGACAAGTGAAAAGAGGCTCGAAAAACAACAGGCGAGTGGCGGCGGAACAGAGCGATTCGCCCCAAGGGTTGGAATTATTCAAATGCGAGCAAATTTAAATCCCGTTTGTCAACAGATCTCTCAGGCCGGAGAAAAGGAATAAGTGTATAAAATAAACGTTGATTGCATTTAGGACCCCTTGGGATTCCGGACTCCGGACTGCCGATTGCTCTTTCTGCCGCTGCCAACTGCTCACGCCTGTCCAAATATTTACACAATTTACGGCGTTCAATTTGAATTGACACAATAATGGAGAAAATGCTCCAGAAGCGAGAGCGCTGCCAATTTTCCAGTTGATTTTGTCGCGCTATTGACTCTGCATTACCGGCAGGTTCATTGATTTCCCAGTTTAGCTGGTTTTTCGGCTCTTAAAGCCATGTTTAAAGCGGGCATCTTTTGTTGTTCTAGCGGATCGTGTTACCGCCTTGGAATTCTTTGCAGCCTGAATGGGTTCCGCCCAGTTCCATTCCATTCGACTCGATTCGATTCGTTTCGATTCGGATCGGATTGGATCGGATCGGAATCCCCATCTTCTGACATGAGCCGATTAAGGAACATTTCAATGCATCTCGGGTTACTCCGCACATCCACATCCACATCAACATCCATGCAGCCCTTTTGGCTGGCGATGTCCGAGCGGGTAATTACATACGTGTCACCTCGGTTAGGTTAGGTGCCACAGGGTATCCGATTTCGCTAAGCCCTTGCCCTTATCTTTGTCCGTGTCCTTTTATGAGTCCTTAAAACCTCTCGCTGCCAAGTCAATTGTGTGGAAAATGTATATCATATTCGTGCATCCAAGTTTTTGGTTTCTTGGCTCAAGCCGAGCGTGCCAGGCCCCAGAAAGTCGCTCCAGTCGTGCGTGAAAATGGCCTTGAGTCGCCCGTGCCAAAAATCTGGCTAACAGAAGCTATCAAAAACTCTTTCGTATGCGATTCTGGGCCAGAAGTTTGTTTTTGACACTGGCAAGGGCTACGGTTTCTTGTGTTCTACCAGCTAAGCTTAGATGGCTCATCAGACTGATCATATTGTATAAACAATTCGCTTGAAATTATTATAATACCTGGCTACCATTTTTTTTTATCATCTTTCTCCAGGTAGCATAAAATCAAAGTCCATGCAAAATATTTCAGGATTGTTTGCTATTTCTTCTTACTCTTAGATGACATAAGCATAAATCATATATGTATGTTATGGGTTAAATCATCGGGCAAGTCGATTTAGCCAATAATGTCCATCTGTATGAAGGTTGAATTCTGCAAACAATATTTAAATATTTGAGTTGTTAGATTGTAGTAATGGTTAAGCAATGCAAGGGTTTTTTAAAATGGTTTATGATATACCTTTGGCATGTTTATAAATTTTAAAAAAGTAGGCTAAGTATTAATATTTGATACATTTGACGAAATATGCTTAAAAAAAATGTTAGATGACTAGAGATGTTATTTTCAGATTCTAGGTAGCTACCTTGAAACAATTTCCTAAATGATCTAATTCGCGCCGTTTACACAGTTCCAATTACCCCTGTCCAGTAACCAATCAAGCCAAAAAAACAACACAAAATACCTTTCTAATCGGAAGGCCTTTTCGGGGATATCTGAATGAAAAGCTGTGAGAACCTAACTCAACGTGCTCCTATGATCCGCTTCCAAAGTTTCGTGTTCCATATCGAAGCACCGCACACGGAGAGCGGCTTAAGTTCCCATAGTTAGGTTCCAATTACCCAAATCCAATGACCGAGAACCAAATATATAAAGGCGAAAAACCTTTCTAATCGGAAGGCCCTTTTCGGGGAGTATCCCAGCAGCGGGCAGTCTCCGATCGCTGGGGCAGCCATTCATCAGGCGGCGAGTGATCCATCAAGTTGGCACATTAGGCAACTAAACGATTCAGGGCTCCCTCTCGCAGGCGAAAGACAAAAGGGCCCAGAAAGGTAGCCGCAGATACATTTCGCAGCTCCAGCTGAGCTCGAGTGGTGGTGCTGGTACTGATGGTGGTGCTGGTGGTGTCCCTGCTCCCGAGCCATGGGTTCTGGCGGTGGAGCACCACCATTAATCACACAACACGAGCCGCTCCAGGATCTTCTTCTCGGGAGGGGGCAGCCAGAAGGGGAACAAATTGCAGCAAGTTGAGCGAATCCTAACCGATAATTATGACATTGCAGGAGTCATGGCGTGTTGGCAAATGATGATGTATATGGGAGTGGGATGCCCACTCCACCCGCAGATCCCTGATCCCTGCCCGCTGCTGGTGTTAAGTCCATGGCGGCTAATCAAGTCATCTTCTGGTCGGATGGCGCGCCTTTTGTTTTGGCCACAGACGATTTATCTTAAGCATGTGTGAAAGTTGTGTCAGATTTATGGTCCGCCTCCCCTTCCCCTTCCCCTTCCCCCTCCCTTTCCCCTTTTCCCCCGCTCTCTTTGACTCCCTGCGGCTGCGGGGCAGCGACAAATGGGCCGCCCTAATGGGCGTTTAACCGCAGCCACTGCAACTGTCCAACATCGACTAATTAACGATGCCGACTCCGATGCCGATTCCGATGCCTTGATGTCTTGATTTCTTCATGTGGCAAGGCGGAAAATTGCCATGAAGCTGTGAAGTGAATGTAGGGAGAGAAAAGTCTAGGGAACCTATCGAATTTTTTTAGTAATTTTAATCTGCTACGCCTTGTATTAAAAATGATATATTTATTGACCAGCTGGCAACAGCTCTACAAAGTTTATTTGGATTGAATTGAATTTAATAGAAGAAATTATACGATATCCTAAGGTGTCGAATTTCGAAAAGATCTTATAAAGTGTGATTCCAATTAAACAAGGATATTGAAAAATAAAAAATGCAATTTAATGTACTTCTGCTTCAAAATGTGGTTCCTATTACCAAATTTCTTCCATCAGTACATTTTAAAATGTAATCAATGGCGCACTCATTTTAACGACATTATCTTTAATATATACATAGCTATACAGATATGTTCAATTGCTGGCCAATGTTAAAAAATATTTCAAACATACAAATAAAGTTGGTTTTTTTATGATACTTTACACTTTGAAATTGCAATTTTAAATAATGTTAACATGTATTTCGTATATGTAGTATTGTCAGTGGTAGTTGAGAATTTTAAATTGAAGGGCTTAAAGCGAATGACTAATTTATTGCGACACATTCGCAGTCACAATTTTTGAATTGAGAGAGAATGTTATATATTTCCGATTATTGAGTGTAAGAGTGAGCGTGTTATATTATTTAGGTATTCATTTTAAGTAAAGGGTAAGGGTCTGCAAATACAGAGTTACTTTTGCAAACATTCTTAAAAATGTGAAATTATTTTTACAATAACAAACTCTAACAAGTGCCTTCCCTTCCTCTCCCGTTTCAGCATCCAGCACAGCCAGAACAACTCGGGGATGGGCTGCCGCAGCCGGCGGGCGGACGGAGCGGCCTCGCCGACGCCCTCGGACAGCTCCGACTCGGACATCTCGCTGGGGACGCACTCGCCGGTGCCGAGCAGCCTGCAGCTGCAGCACAGCCCGGGGAGCACCTCCAACGGGGCCAACGACCGCGAGGAGAGCCTCAGCGTGGACGACGACAAGCCGCGCGACCTGAGCGGCTCCCTCCCGCTGCCCCTCTCCCTCCCCCCTGCCGCTGGCCTCGCCCACGCACACTCACACGCACACGCACACCCCGCCCCAGCTGCCGGCGGGCTACGGGGGCGGAGCGGGCGGCGGACCAGGGGGCGGGCTCGCCGGCCACGGCTGCCTGCCGCCCTTCAAGCTGGACGCGGCGACCAGCCTCTTCAGCGCCGGCTGTTACCTGCAGAGCTTCAGCAACCTGAAGGAGATGTCCCAGCAGTTCCCCATCCAGCCGATCGTCCTGCGTCCGCACCCCCAGCTCCCCCAGCCGCTGACCCTGAACGGAGCGGGCGGAGCCGGCGGGCCACCACTGCACCATCCCGCCTACGCGGCTGCCTACAGTGTGGAGTGCGTCCCGGGACACGGACCTCCGCATCCGCCGCCCAAGCTGAGGATCAACTCGCCGGAGAAGCTCAACTCCACGGCGGTGGCTGCGGTTGGAGTGGGAGGAGGTGCTGGTGGAGGAGGAGGAGGAGGGGCGGGTCACCCGGAGCCCACCACCACGGGATACCACCACAGTGGGCAGCTGCTGCTGCATCGACCTTTCTCCACGTCGCCGGAACTCAAGCACAGTGCTCCCGAGATCACATGATATCAGCGGGTCTGAGGTGTCCACCTATAAAGCCCAGCCCAGCCCACCACCAGATCACCAAGATCCCCGAGATCACCAAGATCCCCGAGATCACCCGATCACCTAATCCCCTGAAGCCCCGAAGCACTAAGGCCCAGCTATTCAGATTGTTTCAATTGTATCTCTAAGTTAGCCCGTAGTTAAGCGCATCCCAGCGGCAGAGTTCGAGCAATATTCGATCCGGAACTGTTTCCTATATCATGACCCGTATTACCTATACCGTTATCCAGCAGCAGCAGCAGCAGCAGCAGCAAATCGCAAGCGTCGCACACTCACTCTTCAAAGATAGCCATTTAAGCCGGATGGAAATTGAGACAGAGATCTGAGGAAAAGTTCAGGAGGCGGAGATCCGCCAAGCTGGACTCGAGTTCGAAACGTTTTCATTCTAATTTTGTGTGTGTGTACGTATTTGTAAATAGAGTTTAAGTATGCAAATCATAGAGCTTACGTATACATTTAGATTGCAATAAAAACCGAATGAACAGTTAAGAATTTGAATCATTACACGAAATGGCGTTGTTTTTTCTGATGCGATAATGGAATCGGATCCAACGGGTGGCTAGTTATGGAAAACTTTTTTGCCCCTGAAAACCAGCCTCGGAAAAGCTGTTGAATAATTAAACGGGCTATGAAAGTTACGGTATGATAATAGTAAAGGTATGCAGATTTGCAATGGAATTAAGAATGATACCTAACTAAACACTTTGTTTGACAAAACTACATTTTTAGATTTTTTTAGGACAAATTAAATATTATTTAGTAGTATCTTTGCTTATTCAATAGTCGAATATATGTTTTTTTAATAAGTAGCAGAAGAAAAGGATATATTTCACCACATGGCATACATTCTCTTAGTTACTTTTCTTTGTTAGCTATCATTTTCAGCTTTCCCTTGGGCAAATACGGACTCCTAAATAAACAATCAGTAAAAACTAAGAAAAAATGCTGATAGACCCAACTATTCATCTGCTGCTAATGTTGCCATTGTATTCCCCGATGTCTGTTGGTATTTTGAAATAAAATATCAATTTCTGTGTAAACATCAACAAGAGTCGGACTCAGGCGAAAGCCAAGTCAAGTCCGAAGGGAAAGAACAACATCCACGATCGGTGGCACTGGCAATCCCACACTCCTTCCAGCTAAACTGAACAGGGAACTGGGAATTGGGAACCCAGAACCCAGAACGGAGAACGGAGAACCAAGAAAAGTGAACCGAGATCCGAGATGCGAGATCCGAGATGATGGCGTCGGCGGATGGCGCCAACGATGACATGTCCGGCCTTGCCATGTCCTACTTGAGTGGTTTACTTAGCTGCCTTATGAAAATATCCAATGCTGTGGGCAAACACACGAATGCAACCGCATCCACTGCCAGGCGGCCCATAACCGAAACCACAACCTCTCACCGAAAAAGCCGGCAGATGAAAAACTGACGCGTCACTGTCACTCACACAAATGCACCACATCATCGTCATTATGGGCTCAAAAGTCTCCGATCTGCCCTGGGAACGGACTGCGTTTATATATATATCGAATATAGAATCGTTCCAGCAACACAGAGAAAAAGTAATGAAGAGATTAAAAGTATAAAAAATTTCGTTAATTTTATTCTTCAGTAGCACAATTTTTATGATTTTTTAAGAAATTTATGGTTTAATGAAATGCTTAAAAAATTTCGTTAAAGATTCCTTTATTTTTATAAATTTACTTAAGGATGCTTTAGTTGAGATTTTAGTTGGTTATTATGTTAATTACGTTATATCCCTTTTTAAAAATATATTAAAAAAATTGATAGTTTCTTTATTATCTTTTTCAAATTACAAATAATTACAAGTTAAGAAACTTTAGTGGTTTAATAATATTCAATTCCAAAAATTCCAAACAAAAAGGCGGCTTATTTCTGAACAAAACTGCACCGGCTTTAATTCGTGTTTTATTTTACATTAGAAATTTGGTCCACATGCCTTTTGATGTAATGATATCTTGAAGCATTTCAACTTTTATAACTAAAAGTTATTGATAGTTTTGACAAAGTCTTCATACCAAGATCAAAGTAAATAATAAAGTCCTCATGCATTGTAAGCTTAAATGCTTCGTTTGACGTCTAACTTTTTTCGTATAAAAAAAGTACTTGGTTAACAGGCAAATATTTCTCTCAGTGCACTTATACGCGATCTAATCTGGTGCCAGCTAGCGCCACAGACTCACTTGCCCAGATTGATGGGCCAACCGTGGATGGATGACTGACTGACTAGTTGGATATAAGTGCTTCCTTTTCCAACAAATTTTCGGCTCAAATTACAAGGTGAGACTAGGGGGACCCACTGTACTGTAGCTGGGGAATGGGGAAGGGAGAAGGGAGAGGGGAGAGGGGAGCCATGAGCATGTGCAAGTTGTCAGGCCAGCCGACAGTCAGCGAAAGAAAAACACTTGAAAGCGCAATTATCAGTAGCTGGGCACCGGGCGCATTAAGTATACGCCGCATTGTCAGTTAATTTTCACTGCAGGCATTTTCGGCCATTTCATGCTTTATTTTTAGGTTCTTCGAGTCGAGTCGAATCGCGTCGCGTCGCCTCATCACCGTCATCATTATGCATGATGTGACACTTTTGACCCTGTTTCCTGCAACCCTCCAATTTTCGGCGTCGTCTGGAGTTGGTATACGTACTTGGATTTGGCATCGGTGTTGGCCTGCCTGCTCGGAATCAATAGGCGCTAGACGAACGCCATATGTCGCCAATTAGCCGGGCCGAGCAAGTAATTGATTTTACACTTGGCCAGCGGGGAATGCGTCATTCGAGGGCCATTTACCAATTACAGGAGCCCAAATGCATCGCCCAACGGGGTGGTGTCCACAGACTAACTGACTGAATGACTGACTGTCTGATTGACTGATTGACTGACTGAGGGACTGAGTGTCGCCTGGATCCAGCTCCTGTTGTTGTTTTATCAAATTAGTGCGTTGTCGCCAAATTCCATCGGCCGGGGGTTGCTGCTCGTAATTATTAACGCCATCATCGAGCAGTGAAACAAGCTCAACCTCGGACTGTTGTGGTTGCATTTACATATTTTACAAGACGACTCAATTAGGTTAACCGCAAAATAAAAAGGCTCGGTGCAAAGGTTTACATATTTCGAATTGAATTTATGCACCCTCCGGCCGACTGTGTTCCTCTGTCTATCTATTCCTCCTTTTTTGTCAATTTGTCCGCAGTCCCTTCCCCATCTCGTCCCACGGATCGTCTCGCCATCCAATTGCCATCCGACCATCAACTCCCCCGAACAAAGAACGCGCACAGTGGAGTGCCAACTCATTGTGGCTGCACAAAATATTTGGACATGTGACGGGGTGTGTTTGCTCTTCAGAAGTAATTTACTCAACTAGCTTGTAGTTTTATGGACTTTAATAAGTTTTTAGAATAGATAGGAGAGGAGTGGGGGTTTTTAAAAATTATAAATGGTGGGAATATATATTCGAAATATTTAAACATTATTTTGATACAATAACAAACAGCCTGAGATAGCAATGATTTATTTCAACGTATCCTTTTTAGAACTTTAAATAACTTACTTCATAACCAGGTTCTCTACTTATTTATTTAATTTTGGTTTGAACTTTTTAATCAAACATGATTTCATTATATATAAAAATAACTTGTTTCTTAACCACATTCTCATTTACTTATTTATTCTTGCTCCACTGTAGCTGAAGCTTATTGACAAAGGGACTACAAACACATTCAGACAGCGAGCGTTTACCACAATATAAAACATTTAACGTGCACATCTTTAAATCTTTTGACTGACATTTGCTCACTTTTTCATTGGGGGTTGAATAGGGGGCGGGGGAGTGGCGGGTGACGGGGGATGGGGACCAACGAACCCCATCATTAAGTGCGTAAATGTACTGTAAATAGACAAACGCGCTTTGAATAAAATTCAGCCAAAAGAGTTGCATTGTGGCAGCCGTTCGAGTGGGTGGAGGTGGTTCAGAACGGGTGGTTGGAGTGGTCGGAGTGGTTGGAGTGGTTGGCTGGCGGGTTAGCAATGCAAATTCCCTGAGCAAACAGCAGCCGAAACCGAGAAAAGCCCATCTGCGCCCATCTGCTCAGACAATTGTGAACAGTCAACAAGGCGAATCAATAAATTTAACTTTATTATGATAATTTGTCAAAGGAAGAGTACACGCATAAAATAGAAGAGGTATTCTGTGACTTAAAATCAATTTGAAAACAGAAGGTTATGAACTATATAATCTTTTAGTTATTACATATTAATTTTGAATTTAATAATTTGATACATTTTCCAAAAACCAATCAATTTTGTTTCTACACAGTGTTATGATATTTATAAAAATATTTATATTCATTATTAATCATTTTTCAGACCCCCATTGAATGATTTTTAACAACAATTGTTTTTTCTGTGTATTTGGTGGGCGATAGAGGGTGTGGTTGTGCGTAAACTTTGTCAAAATATTTGCAGCATTAAATGAGCAAGGCAAACACTTCACACATGCTCAGACCTTAACCCTTTTCATTGTGACGGGAATTCAACTTACAGCCTGGATGAATGTATGTATATATCTCTGCCTCCGCCCCCTTACCCGCTGGGGGGCGTGGCTGTGGAGAGCATGAAGGCTCTTCAGAGCTTCATTAATGAAATCCACTGCCTTCGGTTACAGAATAACTTGACACTCGCACTAATTGTCGCCCTGGAATCCCAGTGAAAGGTGAGTCGACGTCTCAGTCGCTTTCCCTTTTGTCCTCTAATGAGATTTGCCCTGCAATAAAGCCATCGATATGTACGCACCTTTATATACCAATCCTCGGATGAGGGAGTCAGATTCGATACGTTTTCGGAACAGAAATTGGAATAGGAATCGGAGTCGTATTCCTGCTAAAGGTGCACATCGGACAAAAGGAGGCGTCGATGCGTAATTCATAAGAGCATTGAAAAGGCATCAGCTACAGCAACAGTAACGAAGTACCCAAAGTACCCAAAGTACCCGAAGTATCCGAAGTACCCGGGTCTCTATCGCGATGGTGATGATGATGTCTTCATCCTGGTTCAGTGGGCGTGGCCATATTGTGGTTCTGTCTCGGTGCTAAAGAGACTCGCCTCCACTGCGGTCTGGAGTTCCATTCTTTTGCCTGTCCCACTCCCCCTGGATTCGGATTCTTGTTCGTATTCGAGTTCGAGTTCGAGGATTAACAAAAGCACTCAGCCAACTGATTCTGATTCTGAAAACATTTCCGCTGGCATTGTTATTGTTGCCCTAGCCCACAGACCGCATGGATTTGGAGATTTGGGAACGGATTAGAGAAGCGGCAGTGCATTAAATGCTCTGCCCATAATATTCATGAGCCCAGGGACGGCTGCAGATTTTCCGGCCGATTACTGGAACTCCGTGTAAACGGTTTTCGCCCCGATAGCATCGCTGAGTCGTAGGATGTGCTCAATTTTAAGTTGGATGCTGTTTCCCCGCAGAGATTAGTCAAGTCATCTCTG